TATACATATATATATGTGTGTGTGTGTGTGTGTGTGTGTGTGTGTGTGTGTTATACACACACACCGTGATGAGCCAAAACATTTTAACTACTCGTAGGTGAAGTTAATTTTATTAATCAAGGTGAAATTGGCAGGAATAAAGACCTGAGTGACTTCGACAAAGGCCAAATTTTTGTGGTCGGACAACTGTGTTGGAGCATCAAACCAAATGGTGGTCGAGGAGGGACAAACCACAACTTGGTGACAGCATTTAGGGCATTGAATTCTCATCATTTGTAGAAAATCTATGTGGTGACAGTTTTAATGATGGCCCTGTGTAGGTACAGATTGGTCGGTGTCCATGATGACCCCTGTCCACAGCCCAAAGCCCATAGAATGCGGACACAAGCAACAGAACTGTACCATGGAGCAGTGTTTCCTTTTACATGTTTATTTGGGGATGTAATGGCACCACAATACAATGTGGGAAGATGACAAGCTGGTCAAGGGACTGTGATGCTCTGGGCCATGTGCTACCAAAACCTCATTGCAGACCAGGTACACCCATCATGGGAATGGCATTTCCTGATGGCAGTGGCCTCTTTCAGCAGGATATTGAACCCTAATACACTGCACACACAGTTCAGGAATGGTGTAAAGAAACATAATGAAGAGTTCAGGGTCAACTCCTTTCTCTCTTCATGGATGAGCAGGTTTACACATGCAACAAACGTGAAGAGCCTGGAGATGCCATGGGGAACATTATGCTGCCTTGCAACATCACCCAGCATGACCGTTTTGGAACTAACAGTTTTGTAAATGCATCTCATTTGGTACCTAAGAGCAGTAAGGTATCGCTGGCTAGCATGTGAAGATCTGTGTGACCCTCATATATATTCCTCCCCAGACCATCACTGACCCACCAACAAAAGAGTCAAGCTTGATTATATTATAGGCAGAATAACATTACCCCATGGCAGTTACTGGAACCGGTACTGCTGCTGGGTTGTTGCCCTTATATAGCCCTGTCCAGCTCTTCTTGTGTAACAGCCCTTCTCCTGGTATCTCCTCCATGCTCTTGACACTGTACTGGAAGACACAACAGACCTCCTTGCAACAACACATATGGATGTGCCGTCCTGGAGGAGCTGGACTACCTACGCAAGCTGATTGGGTTGCAGATTCTGCCTCATGCTACTCAAGTAGTGAGATTCTAACAAAACGCAAAACTAGGGACAAATCGGTCAGGAATGATAAGAAGAGAGCAATTGTTTGTGGTCACCACCTGCAAAACAATTCCCTTTTTGGGGTAGTCTTGTTGTTGCCTCTCCAGTGCACCTGTTGTCACTTTAATTTGCACCAAAGCAGGTGAAACGGATTCACAATTACTTATGCTTTCTAATTGGACGGATTGATATCCCTGAAGTTTAACTGACTAGGTGTTATACTGTGATTGAGTGCACTCCCACCCCATATATATATATATATATATATATATATATAATAATTTGAACTAAATGCTTTAATAATTGTTAAAAATGCTTTTGTAATATTTATATAAATAATATACAAATCATTTATTATTATTATTATTATTATTATTATTTATTAATAATAATAAATAATCGCTAAAAGCTAGACAATTTTGTCTTTAAAATCTTTTACTATGTAGTGCCCTTTAATCTGGAGCTTTATTACATCGGAGATGTCACTTTGCCCACAATTTTGATGAAATCTGATCTGGAGCAGGTTAGCCGTGGAGCATACTATAGCATTGAAAACTGCTAAAATCTGAACCACTTTCGTGTTGCCTAAAACCCAGGGTTGGCACAAACTAAACTTTAAAAAAAAAACTAAACCGTTTTCATGGTTTAGGCCATAGTTTGCAAATCTAATTTTATGGCTTTGCCATTTTACTGCTTGGCAAGTAGAAAAATGCTGTCATTTAATGTTCAAAATTATCTCATTTTGTGTTAAATGAAAGAAGCTAAACGGGGACATGCATGAGGGACATTTTGGGTGAACACCTAATTTTAGTCAGCATGGAATTGTTTTCTTTGTGATCCAGAGCAGGTATAAGAAGATTGAAGCCAGATCCCTGCAATCTTTAACAGACTGTCAGAGAAATGTGACTTCTCTCTTGGGAACTGTACACAATCAAAGGTACAGAGCACAAAACACAGCATTAGCATTCAGCAACTTCTTTGATTTTTGTCCATAAACCATGTAAATCTAGTATAAACATATCACCAATTCAGCTGACTAAACACTAACACTGCTCTCTTTTAATCCACATGGTTATAGCTGAGATTCATAAAACAAACCATGCTGTTCTGCATGTAGGTTGGTGCATCTGGAGCAGTTCCAGAACACAGTGGTGCAGCAGTTGACATGTTTGGAGCAGGATTGTCTGTCTCTCAAAACCATAGAGAAAGAGACTGTGGTCTGTCTCAGCTTCTCAATAAAATGGGCACATTGTCATATTAAATAGATTACCTGCAAAAGCAAATTGAAATGTTTATATTTTCATCTGAACAAAGCAAATTTAATAGAACAAATCAGTGCCGTTCTCTGTCATATGCACTTGGTCATGTTTCAGAATTTCTGGCAGTCGGAGTCTGACACAGTTCGGGCATTCTGTGATAGACAGCAGAAGAGGTAGTCCAAGCCTGTTTTAAGTTTGCTTGAAGCACACATGCTGTTTATGTCTGTATATTTGGAGAACTGATTTTATTTCTCCCATAGTCCCCAACACTAAGCCAAATTTTAATATTGTAATTCATCCTATAGAGCAGGGCTGTCCAAACTCGGTCCTGAAGGGCCGGTGTCCTGCAGAGTTTAGCTCCAACTTGCCTC